CCCTGCCCTCCCGCCATGGCGCCTTCCTGCCTGAGGGAGCCTTCCCAGATGCAGCAGCTCACAGACAATGTTTCCCAGGACCAGGAGAGATGCATGGGGGTCCGAGCTCACTGCCTCCCAAGGCCTGTGGCAGGGGAGAGTGTGTGCACGGGCCTGTGTGCACATGTCCTGGAAATGTGTGTGTATCCCGTGTGCCTATGTAATCATGTGTGTGCATGTGGAGACACGTGTGCATGTGTTTATACATGTGCACTGTGAACGTGTGTGCATGTGGAGACACGTGTACATATGTTTATACATGTGCATTGTGGACATGTGCATGCATTGGAGACAGGTATGTGTGCGTGTGAGTTTATACATGTGTTTATACATGTGCACTGTGAACATGGGCATGCAGGTGAAGACACGTGTGCATGTGCATGTGAATTTATACATGTGCACTGTAGACCATTGTATACATGTGTGTGGATGTGTGAATGCATGTGTCTCGTGGACGGTCATGCATGTATCCATGTGTGTATGTGTTTGTGGACATGGGGTGCGCACATGATGTTCTGGGAGCTGCCAGTCTGGAGGGATATGGGGAGGGGTGGGATTCTTCCACGTGACTCAAGGAGCATCTCGGGGGCATCACCAAGGTGGGTGGGGGCAGGGAGGGGCTCACATGTCCCCATCCCCCAGACCCCTGCTGCACCCCAGGACCTGAGCTTCCGGAGCCATTGGGGACTCCTGAGGTTTTAAAGAACTGAACGTCAACAGTTCTCTGTCGAGCTTGATGCTGGAGAGGCCCGGTCCCCAAAAGGGATCTTTCGCCAAATAAAACATCTGACCTGGAAAAGGGGCCCCGAGAGAGGGGAGCTCACTCAGCCAGTGTGGGGCGGTGGCCACGGGCCCGCTGGAGGGAGGCAGGGGCCAGGGGCTGCCTTCCCCGAGCAGGGACCCATGCCTGCTCCCCTTCTGCCTGCAGACAAGCTGGAGCTGAGGTTGGAGTGGGGTCTTGGGAGATGGAGAGACCCTCCGAGGGGTAGACGCAGCTCCGGCGCCCCGTGCGACCTTCCGCCCAGTCCCGGGTGGCTCTTTTGAGACTCTGACTCTCCCGGGGTACCTGGGCGCACGGGTCGGGCGCAGTCACCACATGCAGGTGGCTGAGAGCAGGACCAGTCGGGTGGGCTAAAAACATCAGCCCTGCCAGGGACAGGGTCGAGGGACGGAACCACCAGCCCCGGCCCAGGCTCGGCGCCTGCTTCTCTGGGCATGCAGGGCACGAGTAGGGGACTGCATGGCACCTCTGTGTTGGGGGTGCCCCCAGCCCTGCGCTGACCCCAGGCTCATGGGTAAGGGTGCTGGGTCAGGTGTGGGGGGCGGGGTGCAGGGGCTCTGGGGCCGCTGGGTTGGGTCTGCCCCGCAGGACAGCGCGCCTCCCGGGCAGGGGGCAACCCCATCTGTCAGCGCCCCCTGAAGCCAGACATGGTCTGAGGGCACTCGGGGCCCCTCTCTGTCGATGCCCCACAGTGTGCCAGCCTCAACCCCGCCACTCAACAGCAGGGACCATGTCCCAAGGGTGCTGGCGGGGAGGGTCTTTCCCTGGATGCCATCAGCAGGAACCCCCACACAGGGCCTGGCCCAGAGCCAGAAGCCCGCGGGGAGCAGGAAAGGCTGCTGGGGGCCTCCTGGCAGGCTCCGCCCGTGCTTGACCCCCACTCCTCGCTTCTGCACACGGTGCCCTGGTTCCTGCCCCCGACACTCAGCCGGCCCAGAGGGCACCAGAGAAGGAGCTAAGCCCTCTGGGTAATTGCAGCCCCGTGCCGTGTGCAGCCCAGTCCTGTGCCGTGTGCAGCTCCCTGGGTTAGTGCAGCCCAGCCCTGTGCCAGGGCGTTACCAAGGTGGGCTGGGGCAGGGGCCAGGGAGGGGCTCACACATCCCGGACCCCCTCCCCAGAACCGGGGTCGGGACTCTTCCACATGACTCAAAGGGCATCTCGGGGGCTCCTGGGCCCCCATCCTGTGACTGGGGTCCAGCCATGGAGGGGGACGTGAGTGCCCCTGGGAGGCAGAGTTCCCCCATCACCACCCTGCTTAGGCACCCAGGCAGCCAGAAGGATGCCGACTGTGTGCCTGGGATCCCCAGCGCCCCCACATGCGTGCCCCTCACCCTCACAGCTGTCCTGTTGAGAGGTGTCTTTCATGAGAGTGTTTGGGGGTCCCCAGGGGAGCCCACCCCCACCCCATGGGGAGACTCTGCATCTGTCCCCATGGTGTCTTCCTCCGAGGATATGCGGGTTCCCGGGTCCCTCCGGCACTCCACACCCCTGGACACAAGGGGCGTGAATGTGGATGGGGGAGCAGACGGGGCCCTTTTGGCTAGGGCAGAGCTGGCCTGGAGGGTCTCTGTCCTAGGTGGCCAGTGGGAGGGTGAGCTGTCCTCAGACCCCCCCCTCTCGCCTCTCCTCTTCCTCCCGCCCTTCCTCCTCTTCCTACTGCTCCTCCCCTCTTGCTTCCTTTTCTTCCTCTCTTCCCCTCCCCTCCAGGAAGACTCCCAGACTTCCTCCCGCTGCAGTTTGGGGGAGGGGGGGAAGATGTGGGGAGAGTCGCCACCGTGTAGCAGGCCTGGGCCATGTGGCCTTTGTCCCCTCCGGACTCCTGGGAACTGGGAAGCAGCTTTTCAGACCCTTGGGATGATCTCTGGGGTCCCGGCCCCGGGTGAGAGGTGAGCCGAGACCCCTCCCCCTCCTGGCCTCCCTCTGCAGGGCCCCCTGCCCCCGTCCCGCCCTTCAGAATGGCTGCCCAGTGTCTCCCTGTGCCCGCTGGTGTCCTCTCCGAGAGCCAAGCAGCCCATCATACAGCCTGGGGGACGTGGGGTGCCGGTGGGGTGCCGGGGGTGGGGAGCCCCGGAAAAAATAAGAGCAAGGTTCTGTAGGTGCAGGCGAAGATTCGATCCTGAGAGTGAGTGCGGGCAGCTCGCCAGGAGACACAGAGCGTCCGGCTGTCCATCCATCCATCCTTCCGCAGCGGCTGGGGTGCGCAGAGCAGGAAGTAGAAGCAGGAAAGCAAAGTAGCCAGGGGACCTCGCAGCGCCCACTGTGCAAACATGCCTCAGAGCATGGAAGCCCCACGAGGCAGGCATGGACAGGAGGTGGGGGAGACCGGAGAGTCAGTATTGGGGACTGGGGGGCGGGGGGGGGAGAATGTGGTTATTGGCTTGGACAAGGCAAAGGGGGGAGGAGAGGAGCAAATGTGTCTGGAGCGAAGGAGAGGAACTGCACCTCGATTCTCCACAGCCCGGGCCCGAGCAAACAGCTCCTCCGGGCCCATCAGCAGCAGCAGGATTGACTGTGGGTCCCTTCAACAAATAAATGAACAAACAGAACCCCACTGTGTTCAAGGACGGGACCCTGAGCCGGCAAGGCCCCCACACTGCCTGGGACACAGCCGCCCTGAGCAGGGGAGGGGACACCTGGCCGCGACCGGGGGGACTCCCAGCTCTGTGCTCAGAGCTACTTCTGGTGGTGCTGGGGGTGCTATGTGTCATGCTGGGGATCCAGCCCTTGGGGACAGCACCCGCTGCAGGACAAACCCCCTAAGCCCCGCATATGCTCTCCATCCCATGAGGATCTTTAGTAAAGAAAAGCAGGTTGGGGCCAGAGCAATAGGCACTTGCTTTGCACGTGGCCGACCCGGGTTCGATCCCATTATGGTCCCCTGAGCACTGCCTGGTGTGGCCCCAACATAAACCTAAACAGTGACACAGAGCAGCCCCAGGACTGAAGGCGGGACGTGGAGAACCAGGTTCGATCCCTAGCATCCCATATGGTCCCCCGAGCACTACCAGGAGTGATTCCTAAGTCCAGAGCCAGGAGTAACCCCTGAGCATCACCGGTGTGACCCAAAAAAGACAGAAAAATAAGATAAATTAAGACAAGCAGGTTATGGAAAGGAAGGACCACCCAGGGCTTACCAGATCAGCAAGAACTAGTCAGGCATCGGTGCAGGGCATGGGCGGGGGCTGGACTCTGTGGCCCCAGAGGGACTCTCCGGGGTACTTGGAGGCCCCTCCAGAGAGGTGCGTCTCCTATCCAGCACATGGGGAGAGTCACCTCCCGGGGACAGTCCCGGGCCCCGAACCTGGTCTCAGTGGCTCCCAGAGCAGCCATGTGGGGGTCCCCGTGAGCAAGAGGGCATTCCCCCCCCCCCCGGGCCAGCGTGCACTGGGCAGTGAGGAGCCCCCCCACCAACAGAGCCAGGTGAGTTGGGACCCTGAGCACTGTGTGTGTCAGGACCACCAAAGTCTCTGTGCCCATCTGGCGGTACTTATGCTACCAAGGCCCAGGCCTGGGGCTGTAGTGATAGGACAGTGGGGAGGGCATTTGCCTTGCACGCGGCTGACCCGGGTTCGGTTCCCAGCATCCGATAGGGTCCCCCGAGCACCACCAGGAGTAATTCCTGAGTGCAGAGCCAGGAGGAACCCCTGTGCATCGCCGGGTGTGACCCAAAAAGAAAATTGAAAAAGAGAAAAACAAAGGCCCAAGCGTTGGAAAATGGGCGATGACTCTCTCAGGCAGACCTCGCCAGTCATGGGCCCTGGGTCACTCCGCCTTCACCGTTCCCGATGGCTGCTAGGAGTCCATTCCCTGTGGTCCCAACGCCTGCACTATTTTCTTTTTTTCTTCTGATTTGGAGGTCACAAGCTGGCAGTGCTGGTTGGGCTCACCCCTGGTTCTGCATTCAGGAGTTGCTCCTGGTGGCGCCTGGGGGTGGGGGACGGGGGTGCTGCGTGGGATGCTGCAGGGGTCTGCACCGTCTCTCTGGCCCATTGAGCTGTTTTGGACGGTCACCCCCGAGTGCCGGAAGCACTTGAACTTCTCGCGTGCCCAGACGGATGGAGACGCTGACCTGCCCCCCGGGAGCCCAGGGAGCCAGCGGAGCCTGGAGCTAGAGTCTGACTCACACATTTGTCTGTCTGTCTGTCTGTCTGTCTGTCTGTGTCTCCCCTGCCGCCCCCAGGCCCTGATCCTCCACCAGCTGGGCCGCTACAGCCTCGCCGAGAAGGTTCTCCGTGACGCCGTGCAGGTGAACTCCACCGCCCACGAGGTCTGGAACGGGCTGGGCGAAGTCCTCCAGGCCCAGGGCAACGACGCGGCGGCCACCGAGTGCTTCCTGACGGCCCTGGAGCTGGAGGCTAGCAGCCCCGCCGTGCCCTTCACCATCATCCCCCGCGTGCTCTGAGCGGGGCCAGCGGCCCGAGCCGGAAGGTGCAAGTGCCCGCTGGGCGACAACCAAACCCACCCTCCACCCCCCACCCCCCTGCACCTCCACTGTGGTTCCCACCCGCCCAGCCACGGGGCCTGATGCCCCCGACATTGTTCACCATGGATTATGTGCCATATTTTGTTAGTTGACATCTGAGTTTTAAAAGTTTTAAGGGGGAAAAAAAAAACGATTATGGAACTAATCAGCCGATGTAGAAGAATATATTCAAAGTTAAAATTCAGTGGCAGAACAGACTATTTTTATCAGAGCTGTAAAGAAAACTGTTCTCTCCTCCCCGGCCCCACCCCTGGCCCAGAAACCAAATGTGAATGCTGTTTCCCACCTCAGCCCTCGCCAGGACACCCGCTGGCGGTGTCGTGGTGGTTGTTGTCGATAATTGTACCATGTGATGAATTATCGTCCTCACTTAGAACAAAGCCCGAGTCCAAGAATATTTATATTTTACCAATATATGCCTGTTACAAGAGAAGGAAATATGAGTTATTTAAGTTTAACTTTTTTATGTGAATCCAGAGTTTATTTATCGAAGGAAATATGTACAAAGACGCTTCAAATGGGATATTTGCCGACATTCCTTATACCTGACGGACACTTGGCTAAATGGGAAGACGATGTTAATAATAAAATGATTTTTAAATGGACTCCTGACCCATGTCATCTCTAACGGCTCTGTGATGCGCAGGGGTGCGCTGACCCTGCCTGGGGTCACTCTGGACCCGTGAGACCTTGAAGCCAGCCCGGCTCTTGGTTTGGGGGAATCTACCTGGTTTCCCGGCTCCTCCCACCTGGTCTGGGACTGGAGCCTGGGACTTCAGCCTAGCCAATCAGGAGCAGGATTAAGCATGTGACCTGAGGCTGCCCAATCCACGTGCGAGCTGCAAGGCAAGGCTCCTGATGGGCTTGGCGGCCTGGGCGTCAAGGCAGGAGCTGCGGCAGCCCCTGTGACACCATGAGGCTTGGTAGAGGGGAGGGAGGGGAAGCAGACAGGGGTCCAGTGTGAAGCCACAGACTGAAGCCAACAGATCGGCAAAGAGCAAGAACCAGGAAGGGTGACTGGGCCCCTACCCTGAAGCCGAGCGGCTGTGGAGGGAACCCCTGGAGGGCTCTGCTTGACGCTGGGACTCCACGGCCCCTGTCCGGTCTGGGCGTGGGCTTCCTGCTTGGTCAGTGGGAGTCCTCCGGGGTACGGGCATGGGGATATCTGGATCGACTCTTTCTGATGGGTCGGATGCCCTGGAGGTTGCCAGCTGGGGCAGCTGGCGACCCCAGGTGACCCTGTCGTGCCTGGCCGGTCCAGACAGAAGTGGTCTAGCTCTGCCAAGCACATTTCTCTGACCCCCTTCTATAGAAATGCTCCCAGTCTCCCCCGTCTCCTCCTCCATCCCACCACCCGCCCTCTTCCTCAGCCCACCCAGGCCTCCCCCTTCCTGCCTCTTCCACCCACGTGAGCCCCCCACGCAGACTCTTCCTCCCCTGGCCCTGCCGGCTGCCCTCACTGTGCCCCAAGTAAGGACCAGCTCAGCCCCCTGGGGACCCCTCGCGGATGCCACCTCTGCCTGTTCCAGGGGCCCGTGGCCGGCCCCTTCCTTCCCGGTGCCCCCCACCCGACTTCCGCCTTCCTGGTGGGTCTCCAGCCACAGCCCTTCCTGCCACGCACCCCCGCTGGCCCACCCTGCCCCACCCTGGCCCCCCAACTCTGCCTGGATCTCCCCACCCAACACAGCCTCATTGCTGTCTGCTAAAGAAAAAAACTGCCCAGGGTCAGCCATGACCCCAGGGGTTCCACCAGTAGGGAAGGAAGGTGGGAAGGCTGGAGAAACTCGGGCTGGCCTTGGAGAACAGCTGCTGGGGTGCATTGCATACCGGGGGCACTGCTAGGACCACCCCCGTGCTCTCACCGAGCCCCGCGGCCGCAAGAGCTGGTCCATGGCCTCCGGGGCTCCCAGGCAGTGTCCCGTGGGGCGCGGTCCTGCTGTCCTTCCGCTCACAGGCACCCAGGCAGCTGCCGGGCTGACTCTGTGGGGTTCGTTGGGCAGAGGGGCAGCTTCCGGGGGGGGGGCGCAGTGTCCAGGCTCCTAGGAGAGGCAGGTTGGGCCGTGCAGAGGCACGTGGGCACCCACAAGGGGGTTCTTCCGTCCCTCCAGAGGGGACCCTATGGGTCCCTCCCCGTGGACAGAGCCCACTCTCTCCCTTTCCTCTTCCCAGAGAGACAAGCATGATACTGCGTGTCCTCGGGGGGCCTTTCAACACAATTGGGTAAAAATAGCCAGGCGGCCAAGCCTGATTCCTTTTTAGGAAGGATTTCGGCTCTGTCAGTCCCTGCCGGTCGGCACAGGAAGTGGAGGCTTTGGCAGGGCCTGGACAGGGGCCCGGACTGGGGCCACAAGGACCCTTCCCCTGCTTGGGCTGGGCCCACTCCGGTCTGACCCCTCCTGAGCGGTGCCAGGAGCTGGCGGAGGCGTGGATGGGTCGGGTGTGAGAGCATCACCCTGGTCCAGGGACCCCCTGCCCTTGTTGGTCTGTGGCCATGTGCACCCCAGGTTCTCAGGAAATGAGGAGAAGCCCCAGGTGGGTGAAGGGGCCTCTGTGTATTGAGGTTGGGTTTGCCTGTTAGTTTGGGGGACCATAGGGCCCCCTCCTGGCTCAGCACCAGTTATGGAACCCGGCGTCCTACTGTGCAGTGAAATTAGAGGCTTTAATGGGGTGACTCGCCCGGGAGGAGGAGCACAGTGAATTGCAGCCCAACCAGAGCCCAGCAGCTCTCTTGTCTGGTCCCCAGTGCCAGCAAACGTAAAGAGGAGATGGGATTCAATGAGGGTAGAGGGAGTCTCTGGCAAGAGACCTCCTGAATCTGAGCTGATGCATCAGAAAGATCAGGGGGCCCGAATATGACTCAGGGGCTGTGAGTTCACTCCCCAGCACCGCCTGCTTGTGCCAGCAGCGACTGGGGTGTCTCCGACCTCTGTGGCAGAGCCAAGAGCCAGTGCGATCCCCAGCCATGGCCATGGCAAGAGAAGGGAAGGGAAGAAGAGGAGGTTTAGTACTGACTTGCTCAGAGGGAAGAGAAGGAGCCACGGGGACACTGCGCCCCTCCCTGAGTCCCTGGGTGCAGGAGAGCCTGGTGGGCATGTTCCAATGGCAGCCACAGAACTCCCCCCCCCGCCCCCGCCGCATGCACGCACACACACACACACACACACACACACACACACACACACACACACCCCACAGAGGAGAGAGCTGTGGGCCGGAAAGGACAGGGACCCTCTGATGGTCCATCCTGATTTGTTTATTTGTTTGTTTGCTTTATAGATCACACCCAGCGATGCACTGGGGTTCCTCCTGGTTCATGTATTCAGGAATTACTCCTGGCAGTGCTCGGGGGACCATATGGGAAGCTGGGAATCGAACCCTGGTCAGCCACGTGCAAGGCAAACACCCTCCCAGCTGTGCTATTGCTCCAGCCTCAGTCCATCCTGATTTGTGACAGCTTCCTGCCCCTGCTGTGACGTGTTGCTCTGGGCAAAGTAGTTTGCCATTTAAAGTGAACTGCTTTTTCGGGTGAGATGATCTTAAACTGAGAGTTCAGCACTTCCTGATGGGTTGATCACGCCTGTGTGTGCCGTAGGTCAACGGCAGTGCTGCCGGGGTGACACTCCCCATGGGGGGCATTGCAGGAGACCCAACTCGAGGCCTCAATCTTGTGGCTTTCCACTGAGTCCCGTCCCCCTAGTCCTGTGCATTGAAGCTTTCAAGAGCAAGAACATGTGAGGCGCAAGGCTCAACCTGTCATGACATGTTAGTGATCTCTTACACGAGGGCTTCAGGGCTCCAGGGTGAGTTCCGACCATCACACACTTTCCTCTAAGGAAACATTTTTGGATCATTTTCAGTAGCTCATTCATAACCAAACAATACAAAATGAATCATTTAAGACCTGCTTTGGGGGCAGGCTTTCGTGGTGGTGGGAAAATTCAAACTAATGGTGGAGGGGAAGGTGGTGGGATTGTTGAATGTGATCAATGATTGTGAACAACTTTATGCAGATAAAATTAAATATTTATTTTTAAAAAGCTTGTGTGAGGATTTGCAAAGTATGTGCCGTCCAGCCAGGCTGCTCTTTGCTGATGGAAAGAGTTCTATAAAGACTCGGAGTCATGGGGTCAGAGCAATAGCACAGCAGGTAGGGTGTTTGCCTTGCACACGGCTGGCCCAGGTTCAATCCCTGGAATCCTATATGGTCCCCTGAAGATCACCAGGAGTGAGATTCCTTACTGCAGAGCCAGGAGTAACCTCTGAGTATCGCTGGGTGTGACCCCAAAAAATAAAAAAAAAGACTTGGAGCCACGGGCTGGGGTCTCAGCACAGCCCTCCCTGTGGGTTCAGGAACAGAGCCAGGCTGTGGTCTCAGGAAGATCTGGGACCCCCATCTCCTGCCCTCAGGACTCGGGCACAATCTCCATGGTATGGCTGACAGATGCCGCCAGAAGCCAGGTGCTTGGTCACTCATGGGCAAGTGACAGTTCAGCCCCAAGTCCAGCCTCTGCTGCCCACAGCCCTGCTCCAGGGACCAAGGCCAGCGGGACTGTCCAGCCCAAACTCTGTGCTCATGCAGGAAGGACTGTCCCCAGTCCTGGTCTTACACGACAAGGCTGTGATGACCGCATGGGCAGCTGGGCAGGACAGGACAGTAGGACTGGGCGCAAAGGTCTCAGCTGACCCTCTAACTAGTACTCCCAACCCTTTCCCCCACACTCTCCACTCGGGACCCCCTGACCAGTAACCCCCGCCCCATGAATTCCCGCTCAGCTCCACCTTGAGGACCCCCACCCACAGCTTTAAATCTCTCTACTCCTTCCAGTTCTCCTGAGGGGTCCCCACGAGGACCCTGATACACTGCAGAGGCAAATCCACTCGGCACCAAGCCAGTGGGACACCCCCGGGGACAGACTCGGGGTGCAGGGAATGGAGAACAGCCATCGTCTCCCTTCGCTGGGGTCCCCGTGGCTGCTCTGAACTCCCATCGGAGGCTCAGTCATCAGATTCTAGCACCCACTTGCCCATAGCTCCCCTGGGTGGCCCCAAGTCCAAGCCGCCCTCCCAGCTTCCTTGCTCTTTGGAGGCCATGAGCAACCCCTGACCTGCTGTGGAACAACATAAGGACGCCGGGTCAGAATGACAGGACAGTGGGGAGGGCACTTGCCTTGACGCGGCTGACCCGGGTTCGATCCCATATGGTCCCCTGAGCACTGCCTGGTGTGGCCCCAAAACAAACCTAAACAGTGATGCAGAGATGCTTCCAGGTTGACGTGGTGGGACGTGGTGGTGGGACATTGAATGTAATAAATGATTGTGAACAACTTTACAAATAAATTCATCCCAGGCGGGATGTGGAGAACCAGGTCTCTGGTCTTCTCTGCTCTCCTGGGCTCGGTTCCCACCTGGAGGCTGAGAAGGGCTGCTGGGTCGACGGCACTCGAAATGCAGGTGGTGGAGAGAGACTGGGGCAGAGGTTGCTGGCGCCTCTCATGAGAGCTGCAGGAAACAGCATGGGCTCTGCAGACTCCCGGGGCCTTTTACCCCCAGTCCCAAGGCTCCCCTCACCCCACCACTCCTCTCCAGCTCCGGCCCTGCAGGCTGA